TTACTGTGGTTCAGCTGAACGCTCATGTTCCAAGCAGTAAGTTGGAATAGGCTGGAGGAGCTATTTTTTCTCAGAGTTGAACGAGAAGGAAATTACACTTTGGAAAATTGAGAAAAGGAAATTGGACACATTGTGCAGCTCAGATGCCCTACAAATACAGGAGAAAGAATTTGCTGCTATCTAACTCATATACTTCTGCAATGTTTACCAGCAGCATGAAAGTCCGGATGTATTACATCGTCCTTTTGAAGCTCCTCGGTGTTGGGAGGAAAGAAGCAGGTCAGGCCACGGGGGAGACACATGACTGTGAACACCGTCTCCTGGCTGGGAGTGAGCAGTTCAAGGGGGATTGGACATTCCGAATAGACGGAAAAACAAGCAAAAAAAACAGAGAAAAAACGTTTAATTGTCACAACAAAACATATCAATATTGGGATTAAATTAAATAAAAATGCTCTATTGTTTGTATTTTTACATATGTCATGTATCCTATCATTCTTTTTTTCAAATATATAGTCTTTTAAAATAAACATGGCAAGCCACATTAAAATATTTTCCAGAAATACTGAATGAATGTCCTCGTAGAAAATGTAAATCAAAAACATTGACATATTTTCTTATAATTTTGATGAACTTCCTTGTAAATACAAAAATATAACTCATTGTTATGACTGAATTGAGAAAACTCCCAAAAGCACGGTTGCAATAAAGTTGGATTTTAGCCAATTTACAACATAACTCTTATGCAGATAGCGATGAACGAGGATATAATTAAAGTGTGTTTCAGTAAAGGGAGAAAATAACAGACCAATTTCTTTAATAACAGACTTCACAAGACACAAAAACAGCAGGGGGCTCCAAAACTGCTCTTAATTAAAGGAGAGAAGTAACAAGTGTAGTGAAATCAAGAAAAATACAGAATGTTAACATTCTCTCACCCCTGTTATGAAAATCAAACTTAGGCACTGAGGTTTGGCAACACAGTGTGATGAAGCACTGTACCGGACTGTTTTTGGGGCCTACCAGCTGCTACCGAGGGGAGATGCAAGGGGCGACCAGCCGAGGCAAAGTCAGCGGGGTGTTTTTCTGTCCCACAGCTCTGTGGCTGTAGCACTGCTATGGCCACCTCAAAGCCAGTGAAAAAGAAAAGTTAAGAATTTAACACTTTTTCAATCTAAATTCAACATTGACTGTACATCTTGGCAAAGGGTCCAGGTGTAGCAGGTGAGATTAAGGTGGCTTTAGCTAAGGGGGCTGGGATCAGAGGACACTTTTCGTAGCTCAGTTTATTTGATTAGTGTGAACCATACTGTTTTGACAATGTGTTTGGGTGCATTCTGGAAACCAGGGGCGTCGCTTGCCAACAGTAAAGGCAGGGCAACTGATTGGGGCCCGAGACCAGTAGGGGGCCACCAAAGAAGGTAGATTACATTTGTCCACAGCAACGACAACATGGAAATGGCTTTGTAAAACACACTGCAATCGGGCGGGGGTGGGGAGGGGAGCCCAGTTCTCCCCTGCCTGGGGTTAGGGTTAGGGTTAGATGTGTCTTGAAACACCCCTCGTGGAAACCAACTATACCAACACACAGTTCAAACCGGAGAGACGTGATGTATGGAATACATGTTTATTGTTACACGTCATATAAATGAAATGATTGCCATGATAATACAACAGGAGAATGGAATGGTGTTTTGGCGATTAGGCCCCGGTTTGCAGGATAATCATTCGGGAGGGAAAGAACCGCTCCGATGAAAATCCCTGGGGTCTAGAAACTGGTGGTGGTGATAAGTAGGTGGGACCAGTCTGGAGGAGGAAGGTTTAGTTTTGTCCTGGAGGAGACGGGAGGCGAGAGGGGTGGAGGAGGGTTGCGTGTAGTCACCTGAAATGACAGCTGACAGGAGGGAAGAGAAGGCATTTAAGGAATTTAACGTGTGCAGCAATTGGCTGCTGAGGGGTGACGCCCACATGTTTAATCAGGGGGGAGAGAGCAATAGAGTGACGTGTAAGTGACTCATTGTTAGGTCTTCCTTATTGAACTTGCGCTAAAGCTTTCATTTCAAACCGGAGAGACGTGATGTATGGAATACATGTTTATTGTTACACGTCATATAAATGAAATGATTGCCATGATAATACAACAGGAGAATAGAATGGTGTTTTGGCGATTAGGCCCCGGTTTGCAGGATAATCATTCGGAAGGGAAAGAACCGCTCCGATGAAAATACCCAAAACCAGTGAAGTATAGAATACTGAGATGAACTGAGTTCTTACCTTGTAGGGTGACTGTGGTGATCTGGGGAGGAAATAATAGATTAATATATGTATGCGGCAGGGAGATATAGCGTATGTAGGAGGCCGAATCACTGCCGGAGGCTTATGTGACATGACTGGAGACTCGCCTGCCTGGCTATAGCAGTGGGGTCTTGATACTGCACGACCCGAAGGTCGAACGTCGCCGAAGCAGGGATTCTTGTTTTTACAGACGACCGAAGATCTACAGTGGCCCACAGTCCACGAGAACAGAAGTCTACGGGGACCCACAGTCCACAAGACGAAGGTCCGGGGACGCCGCAGTCACAAGACCGAAGTCTACGGGGACACACAGTCCACAAACCTGACTCGCAGGTATACATTTTACACAGGCAATTTGAACACAGGCCGAGTCTACAGGACACACGTCACCAGACACGCAAGTCCACAACCTAATGGGGGTCGCAGGGATGCATTTTACACAGACACATTTGAGCACCACGCCTGGGATTAGATATCTCTTGCAGGAGAAATGTAGCCCTTGACATGTAGATGCA